AGCGAGCTGATAATTTGATAACTCATAAAAGACTTCACGATACTGAGAGAGATATATAGATGCGGAAAATGTTTCGGTCGAAATGGAGATATGCATTGTCACGAAAGAACTCACGCAGATGGAAAGCCTTGAGTTGTTACTGTGACACTATTGTGTTTCAAACATTTGTTCAGTGTGTATTCTTCGTTATTCGGACATACATCGATGTGTTGATAAAATATCAGTGTTAAATGTTACGATTTTCAGATCATTTAACATAGACTGATTGCTTCATTTGCATAAGCTGATCAAACCAAAATTCTGTAAATCACGTCACAAATTACTTTTGCTCGCTTGAATAACTGAAAATACATACTATTAAGTGGAATAAAGCGAAAAAATTATTGCACTGCTATTATTATACAAATTTATGCCACATTTGCTATTGATATGTCCTAAATAAGCTTAATTAAATTGAAATCAAGGAAGTGAGTGCTTAATTATCAAAAAATAATTGAGAATATTTCTAACAGTGACTATGCAAAATTTTGTTTCCGTAAAATTGAATGTTATAAAATGAAAATTTTATTAATTGAAAGTTTAAATTTTAACTCATTTTTTAAGAAATTATTTCATCTTACTTCGCTTATTGATCTATGCAGGTTTTTTGATGTATATCACATAAACGCCTTTGATTCTGCCAACGCTTTGCACCGCCTTATTTTATTTTTTTACATAATATTTTTTACATATTTTTCGTTTTTTTTATGGAGATGGTGCAATAAAAGGACGTATCTATTTAGCGTCTCTTTTTGTATACACGTCCAATACGCATTAAATGAATATAGTATATCATCATCTCCTCGTCACCATCTTTTCACTGTGAGTACATAAGTTCACATATCTCGAACTCAAGTTCCTCCCTCTCTACGTTGCAAATAGAAAAAGTCCAAAGAAGAAGATACCCATACCATTTCATTGCTCCTAGTTGCTGGCTGGTCTACTGTATCTGGTTCGCCAGACGCGTCTTGGCCCTAGTCGACTGTGGCACAGGGATTTATTTCCGGTATTATGTTTTTCATCTCCACCTACATGGATGATATTGTTGATGTAATAACAAATATTACTTATCGATAGCAATAACTATATCATTAGTGATCGTAATACGAATGATAGTAATGATATCTACTATTATTACTACCACACTAAATTAAATAAAATGTAGAGAAACCAGCAGAACTGAGTGCCGGGCGAGTACGGTGAGAGTTCCGGGACCCTATCTAGCGCGAGAATTAAGAAAACAGGCAAAAAGTTAATCTCCGAACTGCTGCACGTGATTTACCATCACGTCAAATTGGTAAATTTTTTAAGAATTAATGACTAAATACTTTTCTTTCAAAATGTTTGAACAAAAATGAAAAAAATGAAATATAGGTGTTTTATACTTACTGAATTTTTTTTGCTTTAGATTTAACTCGGCTTGAAATTGTAATACATGTAAACAGAAATACCGAAATGGTAGTACGGAAAATAGCAATCGTCTATTTTTTCAATACTGAAATTGATTTTTGAGAGTATCGGCATTACAAAAGGGATCGAATTTATCAAAAATATAACACTCCGCATCACAGTTGAATAGAGGTACAAAATATATCAAATTTGCTTAATTATTTTCAGAATATTATAAAGAATTAGAATTTGAAACTTGTATGTTTTTTTTTTCACAGTGGAAGTCGTGCTTTTTTAAATCACAACAAAAGTAACAAAATTTGTTTTTAATCTATTTCTATGCTTTGCAGCTTGATATTCAAATAATATGCATTTCATGATTTAGAAGTGCTCAACTTTTATAATGAAGTCTGGATTATGATTGAACAGTTGAGGCTCTAATATGAAATTACGCTTGATTTAGAAAATTTACAAGATATTGAAATAATTCTATGGAATCGATTGGTTTTCAATCCAACGTTTCAATAAATGCGGATAAATGTATGATTAGATCTGATCATAATCGGAGAGTTTAAAGGGATTAATGAACGAAAATAATATTAATGAATGAATGTTTGTGAGGATTGTATTTTACAGAAATGTCACTGGCATGCCATACAAATTCTGAAGAATCCAATGGTAATAGAAAATATACGAACTGCTTTGAAAATGACAAGATTGAAGAAGAACAAAAGCGTAAGTATTGGTTACTAGGCGATTTTAAACACTAAACTTTAGTCATGTTAAATTTTTACGTAGTTGTTATCTATTGCAGTTTTCAGCCATATAATTCTACCATAAATTTCTGAAATTGGGTATCACTTCATCACCCACTTTGATTGTTTATACTCATATATTATGCTTTGGTGCGTTTTTGTTTAATGAAGTTGGATTTGAATGTTCAAGCAGTAGGAGGAAACTTGCATATGACATCAAATGTCATTGAGAAGTAACCTGAATATATTTTTTGAAGATGAATTCACGGCATGCGCAAGATTCACTCTTAAAAGACAAGCTAAATAAATTGCACAAACGTCTCTGCTATCCCTTGTTTATCTAGTCTTCGCATGTAAGTGTTTTCTCTTATGTGTGTCCAGTCCCGCATGTGATGTTATCCCTTATTAGCGCCTACTTCGTGTGGATGTGTTGTCCTTCATTCTCGGCTAGTCCCGCATGTAAGTGTTATATCTCATGTTGCCTAGTCGGGCGTGTATTGCCTTTTAAACAACACATCTGAAATATGAAATTTCATTAGTTTGTAGTGATTCTTGCAGCATACAACTACTTCCCTCAGCGTCTGTCACTGATGAAGTTGGTTTTATTGAATTCCAAAAATGGAACTTGCTTAAAGATAATATCCAGTTCTGAAGAGCCTCCTCAACACAAAAAAATAGTCATCACAGATCAAAGCTTTTGAAAGCATCCCTATTTGGAATAATTGAATGCATATGAGTTATTTATTTGATTTGGTGTGCTCGAAAGCATGCCAGAGCATCGTTTATGCCAGAACATCGTTTCCGAGAAATTTGGAAGTTCTGGAAGTAAGCAAAATATTGTTTCCAAATAGTGAATAGGTTGATTTCAGATGTATCAAAACATGTGCATATCGGTAAAAAACCGTACATATGTGTTGTGTGCAAGAAAGCATTTAGCACTTCTGGTGGTTTCAGTATACACAAGCGCACACATACCAATGAAAAAGCGTTCATATGTGATGTGTGTAAAAAAGGTTTTGGTATGTATTATGCTTTTAAAGTACACAAGCTCGTACATACCGGTGAAGAACACCGTATAAATGCGATGTATGAGAGAGGATTGGACTTCTAGTAGTTTGGATATACACAAGCGCACAAATACGAGTGAAAAACCTTACAAATGTGATGATTTCGAGAAAGTATTCACGTTATCTGGTTGTTTGAATAAACACATATACCGATGAAAAACCGTGTGCAATATTTGGAAAGAACTTCACACGATTTGCACAATTGAAGGAACACAATTGTACACGTATCACATAAAAACCATTTGAATAAAACATCATAAAAATTGGTTGAGGCATCTGAATAGACCAAGCATAGTGAATCAAAATTGTGTTTCTGCAATTTTAAATTGTGTTTCACTCGCAGTTTGCATTGATTCTTCAATCATTAAAGAAAAAATTTATTTTATTTTTTTGTTTATCCAATCTTTTCATGTTTATTCAATTTATCCAATATTCAACTCGCTGCTGTGCAGAGCTGAATTTACGTTGGTGATGCCTGCATCTTTTGTCTTTTCGATCTTAAAATCACTAATTTGTGTGCTGCCAGCGAAAATTGTGATTACGCAAGTGAAATTTCAACCTTCGAGCACAATATAGCGAAAAAACGATGAATTTGCACTTTTGATGTTTCAGAATTAAATGATTAATAGTGCTGAAGTTTTTGTATTAATTGTAATTGTTATTTGTGAATATTAAAGACAAAAAATGTAGATTTTTGCCAAATTATTGTGTTACTTTTCTCCAATTGTTAAATGCAAAATGTTGGTATGTTTCACTCTGCACTCTGCAAATTTCAGTTTAAGTAACAGGCAAGAAGCAAAATCAACTATGAAGATGCGATGATACATATTTTGTTGTATCTGAAAGCGAAATATTATACAATATTTGCAACAAATTTTACTTTATTTTACATTTTAAATTTCTCCGAAATAATCTTCTGGCAAAACAGATTTTGGTTTGGAATTATTTAACGCTCTGCCTGCTTTTAATTTTATTTGAAATGTTAAAACACCTCAAATAATTGTGAGTTACTAATAAGCATACCAGGTGAAATGATGTGTTTTTGAATCATTATTAAGGCTGAAATTGGAATTGTAATCACTTGTGCAAATTTTCGAGACATATAAGACAAATTTGCATTCCCAAGTGATACACTTTCAAAAAGTGACTTGATTGATGGGAGCTTTTCAGTATATACTAAACTTGTTTTGAAGATGAGTACTGTACTGGAAAGATTTGTTGCATTTCTGGGAGCATTCACCTAAATTGAGCGATGATACTAGAATCAGATGAAAAATTCTAAACCTGAGGCTATTGCCGACATGAAATCAATGAAGCAGACAGAACTGACGTTAAAACAAGAAATTAAAATTCAGTGTGTTTAATTTGCCATTTAGCTCATCTACGGAAATTGAATTTTGACCAGAAAATACACAAAAGATCAAAGTTGATTATGCAAATAATTTGAAGAGCGATTTACAGAGAAAAGTTACAATTTTTAATCTGAAATATTCGTAAACAATCAATATTTATTCCTCGTGTCGCTAGATCAAACATTAATTGAACACTTTTTATCCTTTTGAACCCCAAAAAAGGTCATTCTCTTCCAACAGCAAAAAGTTGTTTCCTTTTAAATCCGGAATTTTCAGTAAATTGAAGCACAAGAAATGTGCTTCTGTGAAAAATTTTGAGATAAATCATAATTTCTTGCCTCTCCAACGTGAAAAGTCATCTAAGGATGAGAAAACTGTAGAGCAAGAATAAATCCATTACGATGAGCATTTAATAATAATAATATTAATATTTTGAAATTCGCACACTTCATTGATTTCACGTCAAATTGACCTTTGCTATTTGCATTTGTTACAAACTGATGAGACTAAATGCATGAATTTTCAGGATTGATACAAAGTTAAAGGATAGAATATTATTTTTGTTCGTTTATTTCCTTGTTCCGACTGCAATAATTTGTTGGTTATAATTCAAAAATAGAGAATGACGAAAAGAAAAAAGATTAGAAATACACAAAAGCAAAGTGCGAGAAAGATTAGAAAAGAATAAAGAAGGAAAAAGAACGGAGAAAAAAGGATACTGAAGAAAAAACGAATAGTAAAAAGATTGGCAATATTGAACTGAGATAATTGTTAATCATTTTGCATCTTCCTATTGCTTGAGCATTAAATGCTACTTCTATTAACAATCAAGTAGTTAACATGACTAAAGTCTAGGGTTCGAAATTATTTAGTAGCCGAAATGTCCGCAATTCGTACAACACATTTATTTACTTACGCTTCACTCACAATAAGTTTTCCTTAATTAGGGAATCTTACTTGTTCTTATTTTGTATGAAACTACAACTTCAATATGTGAAAAAAGTTGTAAGTTATACCGTTGTTCCCTGTCAAGGATGTCTAATTCTTTAAGTTGCTTGCATTGTAATCGATCTTTTTCGGTTAAGTGAAGAAAGTATGTAATAGTCCCAACCTTGTGTTTATCCATTTATTTTGTTAGTTGTTCTTTTGTTGTGGTCATTTTTCAAAGCAGCTCGTATATCTTTTACAAGCAGTGAATTTTTCAAAATTTGCGTTGCTTACTGTAACATTTCTGTAAAATACAATCCTTACAAACATTCAGCACTAATGTTAATCATTTTAGTACATAAAACTCTCCGATCAGATGCGAAAACACAAATGTTGGGCTAGAGTGCTTAATCTTACATGTGTGTTATACCTTATGTGAGCCTAGTCTCCCATGCATGTTGTTCCTAATCTGTGCTGTCCCTTCAAAACAAATGCTAATGTTAAAAAACGAATCCTGTGGTTTTACGTTCAATAATAATCTTCCAACAGCATGGTAATTCACCTGTCACAATTCTATAAAGTTCAATAGTTACACGTAAAAAAGTTGTAATATTCATGACTAAATTCTGTTTGTCGAAGAGTTCTGCAAATGACATCACAATCCTGGTGAACCTTTTTTCTGATGTAGTATACTATTGCAGATTATCTTCCCTTCAATATTTTGTGTACTACATCAAAAAAATTTCCTAGATGATTTTCCTTACAACAATAGCTCTAGGAATTAGTTCACGGCTATGATGTATCAAATAAATTCCATCAAAGAGAAGCAACGCAATAACCTCGTCCCGTACTTTTTTGCCACCTGCAGTTGTTAGTAATAATTATCTTCCAGTAGCATGGTAATCCACCTGTCATCCACAATTCTAATTCTTATGTAAAAAAAAA